TTGTTTTCTTTTTTAATCTAAATTTGTTAATATAAGTATAGTTGGTATAATTATTATATTAGTTATATCATATTCAGGTGTACAGTAAAGCAATTCAACAGTTTCATACCTTACAATGTGATCGCCCCACTAATTCCAGTAATCACCTGTCCCTGTGTGAACTTATCACAGTATTATGATTACATTACCTTTCCCTTTGGCACCCATCCCCTGTCCCCCCTCTTCCTGTACCCATTTCTTGTTCTCTGTTTCAATGAGTCTGTTTTTTGTTTTGTTTTCTTTTGCTTTTGTTCCTTTGTTTTGTTTTGTTTTCTTAGGTTTTGCATATAAATGAAACCATACAGTATTTGCCTTTCCCCCTCTGACTTATTTCATTTAGCATGATGCTTTCTAGATCCGTCTATGTTGTCACAAATGGCAATATTTCAGTCCTTTTTATTGCTGCCTAATATTCTATTGGATATAGGTACCATATCTTTATTCACTCACCGATGGGCACCTAGATTGCCTCCATATCTTGGCTATGGTAAATAAGGCTGCAGTGGACATAGGGGTGCATATATCTTTTGAATTAGAGCTTTTTTCCCCCTTTGGATAAATATCCGGAAGTTGAATTGCTGGGCCATATGGTATATCTATTTTTAGTTTTTTGAGGAATCTCAATGCTGTTTCCATAGTGGCTGCACGAATTTGAGGTCCCACCGACAGTGCACAGGGGCTCGCTTTTCTCCACATCCTAATCAACGTGTGGTATCCGTTGACTTTTTGATAATAGCGACTCTGACAGGTGCGAGATGGCATCTCAGTGTGGGTTAAATGGGCCTTTTCCTGATGAGTAGTGATGCTGAGCATCTCTCCATGTGCCTGTTGGCTCTCTCTCTGTCCTCTTTGGAGAAATGTCTTTTCATGCCCTCCGCCCATTTTTGGGGGATCAGATTATTTTTTTGTTCTTGAGGTGTATGAGTCTCGTACATATTTTGGATATATACTCCTTATCAGATATATCATTGGTAAATATATTCTCCCATTCAGTGGGTTGTCTTTTGCTGATGGTTTTATCATCCTTGTTTTTAAAACAAGGAAACTGAGGCACATGGAGGTGAGGTAACTTCCCCACAGTGACTTGGAACCAGTAAGTGGTAATGGGACCTGCGCCCTTGTCCATCTGACCCCCACGACAGGTTGTGCAAATCCAGTGCATTTATTTTATCAGTTTGTGGGGCAAAACCACTGCTGTGGTGTGGATGTTGGGGGTGGTGGTGGGCTGTGGAGAGAGCTTTAGTCTTGGAAGCAGCAGCTGGGGATTCTGTGCTGAGCTTTCCCAGGGACTTGCCCTGTTCACTCAGCGTTCACAGAGTGATGATCATCTGTAACCTCACGGGGTTGTTGCTAGGCAGAAACATAACGGTCTAGTCAGAGCCTGGCTTATCCAGGTGCTCAGCTGGTATTTATTTACTATACTGATGAATTTGGATTTATCTGCCACCAATATAATTCATTCACTCATCAAAGTAATGTTTATCAGACATCATACCAACTGCTGGGCGTTGCGTTAGCCGCAAAAATTGCAGTGGAGGACTCTGAGTCCCCATCTGCAGGGAGGCCATGGCAAGAGAAAAACATTAAAGAATCACACAAACAAAGGTGGAATTCCAGCTCGAAGGAGAGCTGCCTGGTACACAAGGGGCGCTCCTCGAATGGCCGCCTCCCCTGCACCTGTCCCTCTTCCAGGATCCTCCCTGAGACGTCTCCATTTACCCGTCTCCCAAGGATAAGCCCCTGGGAGTCAATAGGAATCTTCTCACTACCGGCACCCTGGCCCCTTCTCACAGCCTGCAGCTCTTGCTCTCTCTGCCTTTGCCTGGCGTTTGCAATACGGCATTGGAACAAGTGCTCCCGGTCGGTGGTGCTGACTGCCTGCCACGGTAATGTGAGGAGCTGTAAAGGGGCAAAAACCAAAATATCGTCTCTACAGGCCAGAAAGTCCCATCAGTGGACACATCTTACTCAGGGCTGCATTACGAAGCCTGTGCACAAGCATCCGTTGCAGGTTTATGCCACTTCCAGACAGGCCTCCTGTTAGGTGCTTGGGAACTTATTATCCTGGAGGGACAAGACAAATTTTGAAAACTTCCCAATTTTGCCAAGGGGATAAAGATAAGCTGTGAAAGGAGGTTTTTTTTTTAAAAATTTATTTTTGCAGTTTAGAGCTGGCAGGCATACAGTTCTATCTTGAATGATTTATGTAGATGTCTTTAAATGTTTGATTGGCTTTTAGAAATAATTCCTCCTGAAGGAAGTCTAAGAGTGTGGCTTTCTACCTGATCATGCTCAAACTAGCGATCAAGGAATCTAAACCATCCCCTCACCAGACTGTGCTAATCAGTGAGTCAGGGTTCAGCCACTCCATGCCTGTCCAGGTTGATTGTTTCTGAATTATCCTTGAAATTGAGAGGCATTGTGGCAGTACCGCCGCTAAGCAGAAGAGGGCGACAGAACCACGTTCAGTGGATGCATTCAAGCCAAGGAGTCCTCTTGGCTGCAGGATCTCTTGCATTTTCAGCCTTGTCGAGTACACATGGCAGTGTCACGATTGCCATTCCACAGGCAGGGAAACTGAGTCTCAATATTTTCCACAAGGTAAGACAGCTGGGAACACTGGACACATCTACAGTTCCAGATCGGAGAGGATGATTGGAAAGGTCATGGGGCTGGGGCTTGAAGCTGCTTTTGCAGAGCACTTTATGCAAAATGGAGAGAGCGGTAACTGTCCTTTGTTGCTCCAGTTAGAAAGCGGCAACGCAGGAATATGAACTCAGGCTTCCTGACCCTTCCTCCGCGGCCCCTGACTCCAGAGGGCGTGCGGGCCATTCAGTTCTCCGGGCACTGACAGGCATAGGGGCGGACTTCTGCTCACTCACCCCACGTACTCTGATTTCTGTCCTCCTAGACCCTTGTTTTCAGTCCATCCTACAAGAAGTACGTAGGCCAACGCACCGACTCTGAATGTTGCCAGAGAGGCATTGAGTCAAAACCTGAAGTTAGACCCGCCCCCCTCCCCGCCTTCCTGGAAGGCAGTGGTATTGGAGAGAGAAACCTAGGGACGGTCCTAAGTATTATACTATACTCCCATATGCCAGGTTGAACATACATTAATCTTCGTGATGACAACAATGACAACGACAAGGTCAATAGCAATATTAACCAACATGTGCTTACTCTGGGCCAAGGGACTGTGCCAAGAATTTTCACTACATTATCTCACTTAATCCTCTCAAGAAACCTGTGAGGCAAGTAATATTATTATTTTATAAGTGAGAAGAGTGAGACCAGAAAGGTTAAGAAACTTGCCCAAGTTCACTTGGCAAATAATTAATCCAGGTTACTGGTACGCAGACCTCCTCACACAGCCCCCTAAGGCTACCTGCATTCCCAGGGTCCCTGACACCGCAGGTGAGGCGGCCGAATCCTCAGCACCATTCAGAAGTCCCAATATTACCTACCCAGAGTGCAGCCTGTATGCTGATGGTGGAATGACAGCAATCAAGACATGTGCCATGTGCACAGAAATTCCAGTGTTTGGAAATTGTAATTGTGACCTCTTGTAACCCCAGAATGCAAAGTTTCCAGAAAGAGCCAGCTGAACCCTGAGGAACACATCACCACGATCATCTTTCCCCTGAGAGTCTGAGGACCAGAGAGCATTCCCATTGGTTCAGAAAATTGATAAAACTTGTTAGAAATGTTTAGAACCTTGGAGAGATTAAAGCTTGCTCCCCGTGTTGAGTGGGTCAGATCACACAAATTGCGTGGCTTGCCTGGCACAACAGACTGCAATCTAAGTTGATTTATCTGCGGTAAACATTGCTTCTGTACAGCTGACAGGCTAAATAGAGTATTTTTTGCCTCACTCTGGTGCCTATTTTTCATCAGGTATCAGGTACTCAGAAGGTTCATTTGAAGACAAGCCATTGAAACAAGGCCCAATACATCTGACTCTGCAGCTGCAAGCCCCAGCCTCAGCCTTCCTGCGTGAGCCCGGACCAGAGGTGGAACCCACACGCTTGGCGCACTGGGACGACACTCTGACTGACTGAGTACCGGCCAGGGCCTCTGTCTCCTGGTTCCATCCCCACTTTCCTTCTCCCAGTCCTTGACATGCTTGGCCCTTTCGATCCACTTAGCAGGGACCAGACCTGGCTTTTGGCTTCTCTACAACATTTAATGCCTCAGGGCGACTCAGGGGATCCCCAATAACATGGCACTGGGGTCCAGACACCTAATGTCAACACACTCTCCACACCAGAAGCACTGAAGCAGAAGGAGGACACTATTATTCTTAGATAATCAAGAAGGTTCTTTTCTCCAAAGTTAGATAGAACCCTCCTGAGACCTGGGCTGACAGCAAAGCCTGGAAGAGACACTCAGCTTTTGGCTCAAATTGCCATGGCTCTCCAGTTCCTCTAAGGTCTGGGGAAGGACTTCACCCCTCCCAGTTACAATGACCACGTCAGCCTGATATGCAGAGCGAGAGCTGCGTAATTTATGATGTGTAAGACTGCAATCTGAACTAGGATTTCACAAATCAAGCCCAGTGGAAAGGTAACCCAGAGAGTCAGGACACCGGAACCCCAGCCCATGTCTTGGTGCGGGCTTTACCGCCTCTGCCCCTCATGGAGTAATCAGGACCCTGACCAGCCTCAGGCCAGACCGCTAGTTAGCAACAGAAATCTGAACAGGGAAGCGCTGGCCGCCACCTCTGATCTCAAAGCAGTTGTGTAAGTCAACTGAGAGTCCCCTTTCGGTCAGCGGTGGCCCTCGCAACTCTATTTTCCACACCCAGACCCTTCGCACATTTATATTGCCCCAGCTCCAAGAGTGCTACGCCTGAACAGGACCCTGGGGAAGAGGGCCCCAGTGTTTAGACAGCCTCCCGTCCCCCACCCTTCACTAAGGAAGACACCAGAAAGGCGAGGGGCCCCAAGGAGATGGGTGCTTACTGTGCTGGTCGCTCTTGTCCCTTGTCCCATCCACTGTGCCATCTGGAAGGATCCTCAGGAAGTGGCCCCCATTGCTGCAGTAGAGAAGTTTGGGTTTCTTATAATTCTCCAGAGGCAGATTAAACTTCTCAGTCAGGGCTGTGAACGTCGTGACTTCCCCTTCAGCCATGGCTCAGCAGCTGCTGGTTAGGGTCTTTTCACGGCTGAAAGAAATCAAACAAACCTGTAGAATGTTCTCCCAGCAAAGGTGCAAGGGACACTTTCGGGAAGGGAACGAGAGCCTCGGGGTGCAGGGCTCTGGTCGGCTGGGGACCACCGACTGGCCAGGTGATGCCCACAGTGTGGGGCCCGTGCGGTGGCCAGTGGTTAAGGAAGGATGGCCCCGGCATGGGAGGGATTGTCGGGGCATTGCTCACTTCCCAATTGGACACAGCTGCGGATCAAGCTGTGCGGTTTTTAGAACTTTAAATTTAATCATTTGGCCAAGGGAAAAAAATAATGTGTTGGTCCCTCCTTCTGATCCACACACATCCTCAAATTAAATACCGAAATTGCCCTAAAATAACACCCGGGGTCAGGCTGAAACCCACAAAAGCCGAGAGGCCGGCGCTGAGGTTTGCCCTCCCCCCTCCCACTGCTTGGACTGGGCGCCGCCAGGCCCAGGTGCAGAGGTAGCACAGGGGGCCCGGGCGCTTGGGGACTGGCGGACACGCACGGGGCCTCTCTGGCCTCCCACGGTAGAGGCGGCCGAGGGCTCGTGTGGAAAGGAAAATTCTGGGTTTGCTGTAGGAATGGAACTGGAACTAGGAAACAGCACGTGGGGGCGTTACTTGGGGGTTTAAAGGGCAGACACTGTACTAAGGGAAACTTTCGGAGACGTCCTTATGAAGGGTAGGCCGGTATCGCCTGCTTCCACAGCTCACCACACATCGCACGTCACACAGAGGGCGGTCCCTTGTACCGGGGCCATCTTCAGCCTAATTGTTGTCTAATGAGGCATACTTATTATGACTCAGAAACTACCATATTGCATATTATAATGCTCTAATGCTGTATATACCCCCTATATACAAATGGATAATGTACTAGTACAGAAATGTATCAATTATACCTCCAAGGATTAAAAAGCATCTATTGTTTCCACCACTTAGGAGAATGACATGCTGGGTTAACTACAACAAGACAGAGGCAAAGAGACCAGGACAGCAGCATGGGACCTTTGTAAGCGTGAGTAGATGCTGATTGTCACTTGGTTATTGATTGGGCTTATAATAATAATGATCATCATCATTAACATATTCTGGGCTACAAGTTAGTTCATGTAATCTTCACGGTAACCCTTTGAGACAGACATTAATGTTATCCCCATTTTTTTTTTTTTTTTAATAAAATGAAGCCGAAACTTAGAGATGTGCAGTGGCGTGTCCAAGGTCAACAGCCAGTAAGTGGTGGAGATGAGCCTCAAGATAGGTCTCTTGAAACAAAGCCCTAATGTGCCCTTAATCACCGGGAAAAAAAGTTCGGCGACCTCACTGATACTGCAGTGTTATAGTAGTTCCCCCGACCCCGTCCACGGTCTCCCTTCCAGTGGTTTCACTTATCTGCAGTCAACTGTGGTCTGAAAATATTAAATGAAAAATCCCAGAAATAAACAATTCCTAAGTTTTAAATTGTGCAGCGCTCTGCGTAGCTTGATGAAATCGCTCTGTGTCCTGCTCCGTCCTGCCTGGGATACGAAGCTCCCTTTTCCAGCGTATACACACTGTATTCACCTGTTTGGCACTTAGCAGCCATCTCGGCTATCAGGTTGTCACGGTGTCATAGTGCTTGTGTTCAAGGAACCCTTATTTTACTTCATAAGGGCCCCAAAGCCATTCACCTAACTTTTATTACAGTATATTGTTATAATTGTTCTATTTTATTGTCATTGTTGTTAGTCTTCTACTGCGCCTCATTTATAAATTAGACTTTATCATAGGTATGTATATATAGGAAAATGTAATATATAGGTTTTGGTACTATCTGTGGTTTCAACCACAAATTAAGTTATTTATTTGCGACCCAGACATCGGTCATTCCCCCCACCCACAGTGAGGGCTCTGGCCGCCGTGCGAGCCCTGCGGTGGGACCCCGGAATCTCCTCATCCCCGGGAGAACGCACGCCGCTAGCCCTGTGAATGCTGTGGGAGGCCAGCCAGCCTCCTGGGTCCTCCACACTCACCGTCCACCTGTCTGTCCCTGGGACAGCCTCACGGAGCTGCTCATAGAAATTAATTCTGCTATAAATGAAGGCGACCGTTTGGATAACTTGTCCTGGTGAGTTTGGAATTAGGATTTGTGTTGGACGCCTCCATTTGTTGCCTCCGCCCCAGGCGTGTCCATGTGTGTGATACATCCCTCCCCATCGGCAGCCGCATGGGACCGTCATGCTATCCCCAGTTTCAGTTGTTGTTTGAGGTCCCTCCGAGGACCTCTGAAGAGAACTCTGCATGTACTCTATAAACTATATTTAAAGTCAGACCACGCCAAATATCCTCTTTACATATAGCAAAACTCTGTCCAGCTCTTTTCACACAGCACAGAAACAGGTGGAAAATTGTGTTTCCATCTATTCCACAGGGAAGACGGCAGAGTTTCCCTTGCTCAGCACAGTGCCTCCTCTTCCCAAACCCTCAGTCTCTTCCAAACCCGCCTCTTTCTCCCAGAAGCCGCTAAGTCTCTGTGTCGACCTCTCTGTGTCCACCTCCCTCCCTCCCTCTCTCTCGCATTTTGTCTCTCCACTCAGCCCTTTTCCCACCCAGCCTCTCAATCTCCCTCCCACCCCACTTGCTTCCAGATCCCTTCTGAAGTGGAGCAATTCCGTTCTTCCAAACATGGTTCTTTTCACCCATCACCTTTCCAATAACATACAACATCCAATAACATTGCAAGATCCACCTTCCTTAAAATACAACTAAAAGATAATCAATGTTTTTTTAATCAATTTTTTCCAAGCACTATGTCCTTAATTCAGTGCAGAAAATAATAATTATTTACTAGTGGTTGCCATTTAACTGTACAAATAGCCATTTATATTGTCAGTCTTTGGTGGGCAGAATTTTGTTTCTTGCTGTCCCTGGGCTTTCTCCAGAGGAAGTCCCTGTGCCCCCAATTGTGCATGTTAGGGACGGCCTCCCTTCTGGATCCAGCGTCCGTGGAAAGTCTCCATTAAGATGTTCTCTAGGTGTCTGGTATTAACTTGGTTCTATCTACCTGCCTTCCTGCTCCCATCCATTGGGATGAAGGGAGACTGATGCCCAAGAAGGCTGACTGAGGTTGGACACACCCGCTCTGGCTAGGGGTTGTCCTAATGCTCCCATTCCTGGACTTTGTCCCTGCGGGGCTCTCCCCAGCAAAACCACCTCTGCCAGCAGCCCCCTGCAGTTACACAAGGCCACGACTCTGCTTGCTGCCTGCTCCCCCCCAGTAAGACGGTCAGGAATGGGGTGTTGGGGTGACTTCAGGTTGTTCCCATCACCCTTCGGTGCAGCTCCATACATGGAAACCTGAAGGGGACAAATCAACTCCTAAAAATAAGCCTTGAGTCAATGTGAAATTGACAGACTCTGGAAGCAGCATTTATGCATCAGGTGAAACTTTAAAAAATGAAATCCCTTTTGTTGCTGAAGGAAAAGCCAGAGGCACAAAAAGCCATTATTATTATTATTATTATTATTATTATTATTATTATTGCTTTATTACACAATTCCTTGCCAATCCAGTATTTATTAGAGGATGGGAATAAAGGAAGTCTATGATGTGATAAAACTATTAGACAGCAGTTTCAGCAGGCCCTTGGATATTTACACAAATTGCTCTAAAAAATGAATCCATTAACTACACGAAATCAGACATTAAGCATTAATGGAAATGTATAAACTGTGCTTCTTGTTATTATCTTTTTGTTGGCTCTCAGGGGAGGGGGCTATCTCGCTCTCTCTCTCTCTCTCTCTCTCTCTCTCTCTCTCCCTCCTCCTCCATGTGTGTGTTTTGGGAGATGGAAGAGATAAAGCCCAGGGGCCTTTATGTCATCGCTGAGTGCTAAGCTCAGCCCTTGGAAACCTGGGACACTGGTGAGGTTTTGGGAAAACCTGAAGACTCTCTCACCTTATTAGTGACACCAAAGTGAGGAGAACACCAAGCCTTTTGGAACATCTGTGGTAAGGCCGACATGCTGTGTCAGCTGCAGCTTCTGGACGAGAACGCGAACCCTGGCACACGGACAGGTTGTCAAGCATACACTCTCGTCCAGGAGCACAATAGTCACTGTTCAGTGTGGTACAGTGAGCCACGCTGTGCAGCCCCTTGTACACACCAACTGGCTCTGGCATCCTGTGTGGGCCACTCAACCCGTTCACCACCCTGCCTGCCTCAGGGTTGTCTGAAGGGTTAAGGGGGCTCACGAGTCATCACAGCGCTTGGAAAGAGTGAAAATATGACTTGACCTGGAGGAGACAGGAGCACCTGGTTATGCTGAACTAGTCAAAACCTGATGAGGTCTAGGTCATCTGTGACTGAGGCTTAATTTAAAATAATTTTTCAGTTAGTATGAAACTAGAATTTTTTATTTTCTTTCACATTTGGTAGAAATTAGCTAAGCTTCTCCCCCACCCCTATCATTCAAGCTGCCAAGATAGCAGAGAAATGAAGGAGACAAAGGTCACCGTTTCAGGCTAGGTTCTCAGCTCATCCACTGTTATGAAGTGTCATTTGTGAAGCCTGTTATATAGAGGGGAAATTGGTGCTCATTTTGGCCCTGGTGACATAGCTAGAAGGGAAGAGTTATGGTTCTAAGAATCAAGTGAGTGTTAATTTTTTATTTTGCTTTTAACCTCTATCACTGATTACACAATGCAGAATATCCATAGAGGGAGATATTTTGCAAAGTGTATAAAGCCACTGAAGGTAGACATGTAAGTGTCTGTTAAGGTGATAATTGGATGTGTCCTCAAATCCAGCATAGATAAAACAGGCTTTAACTTTGGCTCCAAATATGCTTTAAGCCCTTGCCTCCTGTCTCTATTAATGGTATCACCTCAAAGCTTAACTATTCCTTACTGATGTTAATTAACCTAGGTCTTTCTAAGTCAAGATGCATGTTAAATATTAAGGGTAACTATGAAAACATACAGAACACATTAATTCCAACCAGCAACTGGTAAAAATGAGGGAAATGAGACAAAATAAATAAAACTGTACTACCCAAAAGAATGCAGAAAAAGAAATAAGTAGAAAATTTTTTAAAATTGTTCAAAATTAGTTGGTAGAAATAGATCCAAATATATTTATAGTTACAATAAATGTAAATGGGCTACATTTATTAGCTACTGGGTTTTTAAAAAAATTCACCTATACCCTGAGTACAAAGGACATATTTAAAACACAAGGACACAGAAGTTAAAAGCAAAAGGATGAAATATAGATACCAATTGTTAACAAAAAAATTAGAAGTTGATATGACTATTTAATATATAAAGTAGGTCTAAAGCAAAAAGAATGATCAAGGATAAAAGAGATCACTGCATAGTGATAAATGAAACAATGAACAGATATAAAAAGTCTAAACTTGTGTAAATATGGCATAGCCTTAAAATATATAAAACAAAAATTGACAAATCCACAGTGATAGTGAGAGATTTCAATACATTCCTGTCCTAAATGATAGAGCAAACAGACAAAACTGTAATAAGGAAATAGAAGATCGAAATCCACAATGAACAAACTTAATGAATGAGCATTGAAGAACCCTGCACCCAACTATTAACGAACCCCGTTCTTCTCAAGGCTATCTGGAGCATTTTCAAAAAAGTGATCATGCATCAATTCAAAAAGCAAGACAACACAAATAGAAGAATCCATTTTCTTCAGACTACTCTTTGGTAGCGTAGAAACCACTCCCACACATCCCGCTGGCGACAAAACCCTTTCAGCTGTACCTTTTTAATATCTCCAAAAACAATCTTCTTCATTCCCACCGGGGTTGCTTTGGTGCAGACTCAACACCTTCCCTCCCTGGGCGGCTGAGGCCGGCAGGGCGGTCTCTCTTCTCCAGTGCGGCTCCCTTTTAGTCCCCCTTTGACCCTGCTGCTGTGGCCTTTCTAGCACATGAATCGGATCATCACTCTCTTGCTAAAGCTCTCTGCCTGTGACAGTGGGTTTCCTGCCGCCCTCAGGATAAATGGCACCCAGGCTCCACGGTGACCTGGGAGGCTTCCGTCCTCGGCTCCTTGCCTAGCCCTGCTGCCTTTTCTCCCACTGACCTGTTTTTCTTGTAGTCCCCCCGGCAGCCTCACACCCAGGAGCATTCTCTCTCTCTCTCTCCCTCCACCCCTGGCTAAGTCATACACCCCCCCCAAAAATGTATCTCAGGTATTTTCTCCTCCAGAAAGCCGATTTGGACACATCCCCCAGCCCTGGCCTCCCTGACCTTCCTCCACACCACACAAGCCGGCTTCAATCAGTTGACTCCCTAATGCTTCCGCTGCCAAGCTGTGTCTAGCGCAGCACCGGGAGTGACCGCCATGGGCAGTCCCTGTTGAAACCCTCAGCGGTTTTCTGTCACTCTGGGACATGACTGACGTCCCAGCAACTGCGGGGCTCTCTGAGGTGCAGCCCCGGCTCCCGACCCTGCCTCATCTCCCACCACACTCGCTCTCCAAACTAGCCTTTCATTTCCCGGAAACCGCTGCCTCCCCCACCCCTGACTTTTACCCCAACCATTCCCTCTCGCTGGAGTGCTGTTCCTCTTCACCTTCTCTCTACCCCACTTACCTGGTTAACTCTTGCTCTTTCTGCAAGTCTTAGTTCAATTGCCAAATCCTCAAGGAAACCTTTGCTGACTTCCTTAGCTGGGTCAGGCTCCCCCAGTTCTCAAAGGACCATTTAACATTTCCTCAGAGTTCTTACTTCAGTTTTTAATCATGCATTCATTTTTTGGATCATTTAATTAATACCTCTCTTCATGACTGTGCTATCAGCGTCATGGTAGTATAAATCAGTGTCTTGGTCACCATGGTGTCCTGGTGTCAGGAAGAATGCCTGGTACCTAATAAACACTTGATAGATATCTGTTGAATGAGTGAATGAATATAATTTCACTATGTTTACACGGCTATCTCCTTCATTAGTCTCTAAGACTCCCCCTATGCTTTCCCCCCCCCCCCCCCCAACCCCAGACCCAGTACTTAGCAAATGCCTGCAGTAATCAGTGTCCTGGGGGTATTCATTGATTGACTACCAGGCCAGTTCCTTCTCGGGACCCTCTAGTGGAAATGTTATCAGGAGATTTAATCCTCAGGTATTGGTAGAGAAACTAAGCCATGAGCCTAGATGTATTTTAATTGGGTAAAAATTGGGCTGAATACCATACCTTTGGTTTAAAGCAGGCCCAAACCTGGCTCTCATCTTAAAGAAGATAGTGCGCTTCCTTACTTCTTCAAAAGAAGTATCATGGCATGTAAAAATTTAAAGGAAGGTATCAGACCCTCCGGGCTCAAGTCTAGCCTTCTTCTCTGACCAAGACACAGTTTGTGTGATCGGGGAAAGAAGTTCCAGGCTTCGTGACCTCCGCTGAGTGTCAGGTTGGCAGGGCCCCACTTCACACCCTCTGGGGAAGGAACGTTTGCCTGAGAAAGGGAGGCAGTGTGTTCTCTCTCTCTCTTTCCTCTCCTCCGCCCTCCGCCCTCCAGGATCGGGATGGGCTGAGGTAGGAGGGCAGCCAGGCCAGCCTGGCTGGGAGCATCTCAGCAGGCTGCTCCCCTGCCAGCTCTGATCCAAGAGCCGAGATCTCACCTTCTGAAGTTGGCAGTAAACAGTGGATGTGGCCATGGGACGGACTTGAAGGTGGTGTGCACAGGTGGTGGCTCCTACAAGCGTGTAAAAGCCAATTATGCAAATATTTGGGACTCTTTTTTTGAGCCTGCTTGAGATCAGCCCCAGTGAGACTATTTAACAGCACAGAAATAGGCAAACAGTATAAATCAGGGCTTTTTTCCCCTCTACTTCTAGCTTTCCTTTACCTTCCCACCTTCCCCACCCCACTTCTTTTTTCCCCCTCTGATAACTGGTTTACCAACATACTACTAATCTTGGGTTTAAGTCCTGGCCAGATACTTGTTAGCAAGTTACTCAGTCTTACAGACTCTCAGTTTCCTCCTCTGCAGAACAGGGTTCCACAACAGTCGCTACGGCATAGCTTTAAGCATTAAGTGATAGTCTGTATAAAGTGCTGAGTCCAATACTTGATAACTAAATAAGCTTTCAATAGCTGTTAGTTTGGTTAATGTTCTCTATGAATCACATGGTTTAGCTTTTTCCATCTGTGCTATTGATTTTGGATTGAGGAAACATGATTTTAAACATTTAGCAATATGTTGGCAATACTGGAAAATATCATTTTCTATATATAGGTTAAAAATGTTCATTATCGCCTATGTGTAATGATATTCTCTTCTCATTTGCTTGGTTGCTGACTATGATATACTAGTGACCAGTTCTCAGTATATTTCATTGATTTTTGTGTGTTACTGTCCAGGATGACAGAGAACCTGGGGTTCAATAGTCTTTTATTGCCTCTTATTTAATTCAGGGTCCTTCTAATCCTAAAAATTCCCCAAGTCACTGATAATAAACTGTCCCCTGGCTTCCAGAATAAAATATTATTTGCAGAAGATCAAGGCATCATACTCTAGAATACCAACCACCTCTACTCAGTACCTGCCATGGGTAGAATCCTGCAGATGTCCTGGGAATTGGAAAAGGAAAAGGAAAAGGAAAAAGGAAGACCTGAAACTTCTAGTCCACAATTATAAAGTGCAAAAGACTCTGAACACTAGACCTCTTTCATAACTCAAATTGTGGCAAAAACTGACCCAAACTGTCCTGCGACTAAAATCTTTATTTATTCCATTTAGTGTTAATATTTATATAATCCAGGGCAGAATTAGTAATGTATTCGACTATAGAAAACTGTCCCATACCCCACTGGTATGTTCCATAATATACAATATATGTACCATTCTGCCTTTCTAAAATCCCCCAAATTCTGGATTCTCAAATATGTGGAGCCCCAAGGCTTCTCATATCAGGGATTTCTGGTCCTGCAGCAGAATCACAGTGCCTGCCTTTGAGGAGGTCACTCTCTGGCCACAGCAGGCTCATCAAGCTGCTCTTTCTGCTTCAGAAAAGCAGGGCCTAGAAGCCTGGAGCAAGTGTAGCTGGCAGGAAGTGGTCACCCAGCAGCTCAATCCCAGCCTTAGCTCTCATGCTCCTTAATGAAAAATAGAAAATGTGAGCAGACATTCCCCTCCCCCCCCCAAGGATCTCCTCCAGTACCCTTTATTTCTTCCCTTGGTTCTGGATCTTTAATTCTCTGCAATCTGGCTTTTCTACCCCCAGAACACTTCCTCCCCTCGAGCATTATTCATTCGGAGGTCAGGAATTCTTTTAAGAGTTTAGAGAAAACAGCCTCCAGCCTGAGTGGAGGAACCGGGCGGGGCGTTCGCTGGTGGAGCGGCTGCTCTGTTCTGCCTGAACGTCAGTGCTACACCCCAGTCCAGGGCATCCCGCAGGCTCCCCACCGTCCCAAGGCCCTGCACACATCTCAAACAGAAATGTCCTTCCTGCAGACTGATGCGTTAAAGCCCGGAGCTTTAGCCAAATGCAAAGTGATTCTGCAGAGGCCCCAGCAGCACTCACCCCTTCTTCCAACCTTCTCACTGACAGGGCTCCACAAATCCTTCGACTCTGTCGCACAGGTTACAATCTCTAGAACCAGCCCGGCAAGGACATGTCTTTCTCGGAGTCTGCAGACCTTCCAGCTCATAGAAAAGATAGTCTGTTTGCTTGGTCTTTTTTTTTTTTCTTTATTTCCTGATGCAGAAAATTTGGCTTTTCCAAATTCATTCTTTCATAGTACGTGTTTGTTACGTCTCTGGCAATGCCAAGGGCTTGTTCTACTTTATGTTTCCCAATAGCCTGCTTTGGGCATACCCGTTAATAATAAAATACGTCCATAAATTATAAACTAGTAACCTTTTCTCAAAAACTTACTCTGTACCAAGTATAGGCCTACAGTGTTTTCATACATTGTTTTATTTAACCCTCAAAGAAATTCTGTTAGGTAGGCATTACTTTTCTTTTTTTCTTTCTTTGTTTTTTAGCCTGGGAGGTAAATGAATAAAATTTTCTAGCCAATCATTTACCCTAGCTGGTTCAAAGTCCCAACGTTTAATGAACAGAACAGGGACACTGCCCTGAACTGAACTCAAGGCGTTCACTTTTTATCCCCCATTTTCCAGCTAAGGACCAGAGGCTTGGGGAATTTAAATAATTTCTCCGAGGTCACACAGTTAAATGAATGTTAGAGCCGAGGCCTGAAGGGAGGATTTTCTGCCTCTCAAGTTCATTATTTTAATTGCCAAGAAACATGGGAAAGAGAAGAAAACGCCCATTGGACTGAGCGAGCCTCAGCTTCTCTTGTTGTCACCCCACCAGCCCCTGTGGCCACGTAGCCTGGTGACAGTGTTCTGAAGGAGACGCTTGTTTTCGCTGAACGGAGTCTTGGCAAGTCCCTAGCCGGGCACAGAACTGTCCTCTTTCACAGCTGCACCGTGACCTCCTCCCGATTGTCACTCTGCTGCTTCCCCCAAATGACCTAGCATCATGCGAGTCTGTCTTGATCTTTGTCACAGCACAGTCACTTGCCATTGCTTCTAAAAGGGCTGAGGCCCGGCCAGAGACCACTGGGGGCACTGCGCGAATGTCCTGCGAGGCTAGAAGCCCCAGGACAAAGGCAAGTTCTCACAGCCTGAGGGCCCTATGCCTGGGTTTTGTCTTTTGTTGGTTCATTAACTACGTGAGTGACCAGGCAAGTTGTTTACTGTTTCTGGTCCTCAGCTGCCTCATCTGTAAACTGAAGCTGTTAGCGAGAACTGGTCTGGTCACAGTGTCACGAGGAAAGACTAGATTAAGGCCTCAGAAGGGCCCTGCATTCAGTGAGTGTGTAGGAGATAGAAGGCATTGTTGCTAATAAGGGCGTATGTTTCAGTGTGTTGGTTGTTTACATCTTTATAGCAATTGGGCTTTTACGAAGCATTTTATATGAGTAAACAAGCATCTCTGAGTGCCCGTTGTGTAGACACTACATTAAGTATTTTACAGTCATTTTGTATCTGCTATTCCGTCTACTCTACGGATAGATGCACACTTTCCCTTTTCCTCCAGCTGAGAGAACTGTGACGCAGGAGCTGAGCAGCTTATCAAAGCAAAGCCGCGGTTTAGCCAAGAATAAAATCCTCAGTTCTGAAACGTCAGTTTACTGTGTCGCCCCTCTGTAGGGCAGCCTCATATTTCCAGGGTCCCAGGCTCACTCAAAACATTAAATAATAAAAAGGACAAAACTCACATTTCTGCCAGACAGATGCTATCCAGCCGTCTCGGGAAGAATGGTTAGCAGTCCCTGCATGCAGTTTTGTGTTTTAAGGTACTTGGATACGGAAGAGGAATGTAAACTCCACGGAGCTCATTCCACATGTCAGAGTCTATTCTGGTTCTTGAAAGCGGGCCACCGAAGCCCCAGCTCTGCCTCGGGAGCTACATTCCTGCAGAGACATCCAGCAGCAGGTGGGAATCCGCGGGGTGCAGGATTTGCAGAGGGACTCAGTGAGAGTCACAGCCGAAGGGCAGGAAGAAAATAGTCACCTGCCCCAAGCCAGCCTTCCAGTGACTAGTTTTTGCAGAGCTACATCAGGATAGCATAAACCTTGTTTCCTTTTGCATTCTTTCATTTTAAGGGCTTTGGCTATTTTTAGAGCCTCGTTTTATTTGCCAACTCTCCTTGACCTCACACGAAAAGTCCAAAAGGGATGGCGCTCCCATTCGCACTGTCCGCCCAGGCTCGGCGTGCCTGGGGGCTTGCACGGTCCTGCGACCGCAGCGTTGGTATTCCACGCGCTGATCTGCACACAACCCGGCCATTGGCGGGAGCTAGGCCTGTTTTATGGGAAGGAGATGGTGCAAGAGAACATGACCCAAGGCTCCGGGAAATGACTGCTGTTTGATAAGCGATGAAAGAGCTTGGAAGTGAGTCGAAATTCTGTATCCAAGAAGCTGAGCTAGGAAATCTGCCTTAAGTATCTAGCTTCTCCAGGAAGGTGCACAGTGTAGAAAAGATGGCATTTACCAGAAAAGTCACAAGGACAGGTAGGTACCAATAACTGTGACAGCACAGTCATCAGTCAGCTGCGGCCTCTCACAGCCATTTTCTTCAATTTTGGCAGGTGGCTCAAAGCATGGTTTCAACACCACGTGATTTTCCTCCTTGTTTATGTCTTTTTTCTAACTGACCTTTCAAAGCCATTTATATCCCCCACTGTCCACTACTCCTGCCTCATGTTTTATAGATCAAAGCACCACTCTAGTGGGTGGAGTGGTTTGAAAAATGGAGAATTTCTGCATTGTTGGCCTTCAAAAGCAGATTAGGCAACAAAAGCAAGAAGAAATGTCAGAGTGACTTCTCCCAACTTCTCTGGCTGCCATGTTTTTGCACATAATTCCTCTCAACTTCTAAAGATCCTGCATTCCTTGGCTCCTCCCTGGTGCTGTCAGGTTGAAGGGGCTCCTCTGGAATTTGCTAACTCTGGACATTTGGATGGGCCCACGGGTTGGTCAGACAAAGGCAGAACATTGCCCAGTGTTTTCATGATATATTCTTGAACCCCTCATGGTAAATAACTTTTCTATAGGTATATTCATATAAGAGTAAATTAACAAATAAATGGGTATTGCTCTCCAAAATTGCCCTCACAGGAGTTGTAAAATTTCACACACTGTAGGGAGTTTGATTTGATTTTCAGAAATTTTTAGCAGAGCATTTTCTTTTTCTTTTCTCTTTCTTTTCGATTTTAGAAAGGGGAAGGGAGGGAGAAAGCGAGAGAAGGAAACGTAAAGCAGTTGAGCCCACATCCGAGGCGTGCGCCCCGAACTGACAGCCTTTCGGTTCCTGGGATGGCACCCGGACGACAGCCACCCTGGCCGGGCTGGCGCGGCATTTCCAGCAGCGTGATTATCATGAGCTTCTCTGAGTCTAATCGTGTCGCACCCACTGTATCTGGGGGAGTTCGTATCACTCCCCTGTCCTCTATCTCAGACCCAAGTGTGTTTCTTGTGTAATATTTGTGATAAACTATTATTTCATTGGTATATTTGTTTCCTGATTACTGTCTGTTTCCCTCCAATATATCACATACGCGCACACACAAACCCACCAACACACACACGCAGGACTGCAAGCCTCATGAGGACCCAGGTCAGATTTGTTTTGCTCACATTACATGTCAGCTTCTAGATCTGGGCCTGGCACATAATAACTGCTCAATAAACGTTTGGGAATGAGTGATTTCAAGAAGCCTGTTCTCAAAAAACCTGTTGGGTTAAAAAAAAAATAACCAAAAATAATCCCCATGGAAAAAGGTGATATTTAAGGTTATTTTCCATCTTCGGCAGATCCTTTTAAGTTTGGGGAATAGTGTTTGGCTGAGAATTGTGTTTCCCAGGGAAAAGGGTTGGAACGACTGGTCACCCACATAGTGCAGATAAGGAATCGTGGGAAGCCTGCCGCTTTTTTTTCTCTTAGTTTCCCTTCTCTTGATCTATCCTTTTTTTCTTCCATTATTTACTAAATGCTAATCAAATATATACCAGGCATAGTAAAACAGGGGTAATAATACACCCACCCCCCTCACAGGATTGTTGTAAGGCTCAAATGAGATCACTATATTTAACAGCTCTTGGCAAGGTACCTGGCATAGTAAGTGCCTGACAAATGCTAGCCATTAACACTATTATCAGAAATATTTATGGAGCAACTGTTATGCACCTTCTTTTTCAGAGCCTCCAGATATGGAGAAAAGATTTGTGATGATTTGTGTCACCAGCATTCTTTCCATAGTATCTGTTTTCAGAGCAGAGGGTTACATAGTGGCCTCTTCATGTTACAGGTGGGCAGGGCCAGCAGGCCAGGACAAGAGTGAGGAAAGGAACAAAATACCCAAATTTTGAATACTACTGATTTTTTCCTTTTGCCTCAGACTCCTTATATGGCTTGGCCCAACACTGTTACTGATCCTGTCTTTTTTTAAAAAAAAAAGAATGATATTTTGCCCTGGCTGGTGTGGCTCAGTGGATTGAGTGCTGGCTTGCAAACCAAAGGGTCACTGGTTCCATTCCCAGTCAGGGCACATGCCTGGGTTGCAGGCCAAGTCCCCAGCTGGGAGTGCACGAGAGACAACCTCTCTCTCTAAACGTAAGCAAATCTTTAAAAAAATTGATATTTTGTTATCATGGGGTTTTTTGCATGAAATGTGACTTTTAAAAAATACTGCATTGAAATGTTATTCATCTTGATTTCTGAGTAAATTTTGCATCAGAAGAAAGTACATCCCTCATCCCAGCCTAGTCCCAGCCCTTTTAACTAGTCCAAGTTTCTCTCACCTCTCAAAACTGAACCCTTCGACTCTAGTCGCGGGCTATCAAGTTGACATACTCATCAACTTGAGTGGCCAGCAGCAGCGCAGTCCACCGTCAGCTCCGGGCTTACCTTCTGAAATGGCCTCTCTTTTGTACGTGGCTCCCTGCACTCATTAGACACAAAGCCAGAGGGATTTTGAAAAACCTACCTCAGATTGGTCACGCCCGACTTTAAAACCTTCTGTGGCTTTCCATTTTCATAACCCTGCCCATGGCCTACAAGACCCCGTGTGGCCCAGCCTTACCTCCCGTCACTCCCTCCTGTTGCCCACTGCACTCCTGCCTCGCTCTCTCCTCTCAGATCCTTGGTCCACTGTGGTCTTAGCCATACAAAGCTTCCTCCATACAAACTGTTATGTGCCCAATCATTTGCAATAAATAAATACCCATCCATGTGTGAACTTGATGTCTCTCTCCCTCACTAGGCTGGAAATGCCTGGAGGACAGAGCCATGTT